ACTCTTTCTTTTCTCTGTTGTCTTCTATTTATATATATATATATAAAAGCTGACATGCAGACTGTTGAAGTTCATTAAAAGGGTCTATTTTGTGCAAAAGTTTTAAGCCACCCAACATTTGTTTATCATTTTTATCACAAGTGATTTTTGTATGATCTATTAAAATAATAATAATAAATCACCAGCAGTAGTTCCTCAAGTTTCCTGACTGCATGACTGATGAAGCTCTGGGGTGAGGTGGGAGTGTGTTTCTACTAAGCCTTTACTGCACAGTTTAAAATCATTTTCAAAGAGAAAAGATGAAGCCGTTTCCTATCAGACACATTTATTGGTTGTTTTTGTTCGTCATAAATGCTGTACGCTCAGAAGATGTGTTTGAAGGCAGCTCAGAGCACCAGAGGATGGCAGCAGTAGCGACAGTTCGACAGAGCAGGACAGACAGGCGGGACTTTGTGATTAGGCCTGAATATCTCGAGTGTTGACTCGAAAGCCTGGCCCGTGTGCAAAGCTGTGGCCAAGCAGATAATATTCAAATTCTGTGACTGTGAAAAACACTGGAGGCAATGAAACTGAAACTGTGAAAGATACACATTTACATACAATTTTTTTAATACATATACTTGGAGGTTTCTAGAGTTGTGTTTTTCCGAGACAGACAAGCAGCTGCTGTTCAACTAGCCAAACATGGCCAACAAAGAGCCAGAGAAAACTTTTGTTTTTAATGCTGCGATGTGAGCGAGAGGAGGAAAGAGCATGAGAAGTGGCACAAGCTGAAGGAATAAGCCAAGCAGATGTGGATGATGAGGTTCTGGGGGGGTGGGGGGTGCTACACTGGAGACTTTGTACAATGACCACTCAGGAAGTGGCTGAGGGATCCATTCAGAGAAATCAGCTACTAAGATTTGGAGAAAAAAAACCTTCAGCACAATTGCTGAGGTACCTGTTTCGTTATAAGTCGTTGGTATGTTGCAAGTTAATCAAATCACACGATTTACTATGGCAGCAGCCATCTTGGATTTTGATCTGGCAACCCAATCTTCAAAAGGAAGCTTTCTCATGCTTAAATGTTGCCACACACCAAAATGGAAGCTGGCACCTCACTTATTTTTCAAGTTATCATGCTCATCAAAGCATGCAGGCCGGATGGAAGGACACAGATGGAAAAACGGAAGGACAGACGTATGGACGAAGGGTATTTCCAATTCCCCCTTTTCACCCTGACATGGTAAACTAACTGCAGCATGAGCTGTTTGAGGACAGCAGCAAACCACTTTAATCAGTCAGAACACAACTCTACTTGTTCAAACTGTCTAAAGAGCTATCTACAACAGGTAAGATATTGTTCGATGGGAATATCCATAGAACCCAACTTTTGAAGATAAGAACTATCCTTTTAATCATAAAGCCACTTTCTGAAACCCTCAGAAAAATAATAAAAGAGTTTCCTCTGGTGGAAGATGAATATTTAAATAATATTAAACAACATATGAACATAATGCAGACATTAGACACACTCTGACTTACTGAAGCTACTTTTTAAAATTTGATTACATGCATAAACCTGCAGCATTAATGCAAACAGTCTCCGAGGAGTTTAACGAGCGCTTTTGTTTTGTCACCTGTTTACACAGGAGCGAGATATTTTACTCTGGAAATCTGCTCAGTAAATAATTCAATCGTGCGTTATCTTTTAACAAGGGTCAAGCAAAGGAACGAAATAAAGCAGATCTACTGAGACTGTCCTAAAGCTCCAGCCACTTCGCCTTTTTCTTTTTTTTCAGTTAATATTTAAGCATGGCCCGAGAAGCCGTCTGACATTTAAATCAGCAAGAAAACCACTTCTTTTTTTCTGCAGAGCTTGAAGAACTGCAGTGAGTGTGCAGAGGACAGTGTCTGAACAGAAAAGTGTCGTCCTCATAATGCAGCATGGCTTCAGATGACACGCGAGCCTCTAAATCTATCAAAACTGAACATCTGTATCTGTTTCTCCTCTCCCTCAGGCTCCATCTAAACACTTCTCTTTCTCTCCCCCCTCCTCTCTCAGTCTCTCTCTCTCTCTCTCCTCCTCTCTGTCAGTGCGTTGTTTCTTTTACTTCCTTCTTTCTGTCTGTGCTGAATACCAGAACACACAGGATGTGCTTCACAGTGCTCTCAGTTTCACAGCAGCAGCAGCAGCAGCTGGACTGAGGACACTCTGCAGCAACATGAGCGCCGGGGTGGTGGTGTGCACCGGCTGGCTCGTCAAATCCCCCCCGGAGAAGAAACTCAAGAGATTTGTGAGTATAAGCAGACATCAGACACTTGTTTTGTGGACCCTCTGTTAGGACGGTGAGGCAGATTGAGGGTTTAGGGTTCTCCAGATTATTATTCTGGGATTATTTACCTCCCAGAACTGAAACTGCGTTAGAACCATGATTAGAGCTGAGGGCTCCAACTCAAGGAGCAAGTATGAAGAGCATCAGGCCCTCATTGTTGTGTGTGGTAGTTGTTGTGTGTGTGTGTGTGGGGGGGGGGGGGTGTCATGTGATAATGTGAGGCTGCTCTGTCCATCCCTACGTGTGATGAGTGCATGGATTGTGAAACATGGGAAGTAATGTCAGCAGCAGGCAGACGCTGCAGCAGCTTTATGACGGCTGTTTGCACTTCCTCTGCACGACTGAAGGAGGTGTGTGCGTGCGTGTGTGCGTGCATGGGGAGGGGGGTTGTGTTCTAACAGGCAGTGCAAGGAAAAGAGTGGGTGTTTGTGTTAATGAAGGTTATGCTGTAGGTTCAGGGCTGGAAGTAGAAACTTATTCTAGCAGACTATGCAAATCCTGCTGATGTGTGTGGGTGTGTGTGTGGGGGGTTGCCTCATTCAAATGTGAGCTGCTGGCACATGAGGGCATGAAAATGTGAATTTTCCTCATCAGAGCAACACTTGTGCGCTGCTTTACGTTCCAACTCCACCCTCTGTTGAACGTTTCGGTTTCTGGGATGAAGATTTTAAATTAGTTGGAGGCGTGATGTCAGATTTGATCCAAACGAGACGGTTTTAGGATTAAATGGGACTAGCATTTCCTGTCCGAGATTTAAACTTGTGATGAGAAAAGGAAACATGATGTGAACTCTCACCTTCAGGGTGTGTGTCATGTGTGACTCTCAGTTACCACCACAGCCAATTTGAGCTCATCGGTTATAAACCTGACTGGATTATGACTGTGTGCTTGTTGTTGGTCTGGGCTGACTCCAACAGCTGTAGATGTACATCTAATCGTTACTTTCATTGAATTTCACCAAGCTGATCACAAGATATTTTGCTAACAGACAAGCCTTGAGCTTGAACAGAATCAGTTTGCTCGCAGCAGAGGTTCAACCTGCGCTCAGATGTTTTAATCCGTCGGTGAGTGAGTCATTTGTGCTAATGTATAAATGACTGGTCACCACGGACGACCAGACGTTATAATTTTAACCGACTGGTCACGTGACGGCAGCACAGAAGACGCAGGTGTGTCAGAATCACCAGCTGTGGGTGAAACTCTTAAAGTTCAACATCTTTTTGTTTTAATGGAACAAATATGAGCTTTGTTTTTATTAAAGTAAACTTTGAACATTCAATAAAAGATATGTTCTCCTTGGCTCTATTTTCTGAGAAAGCAAAACTCTTCTTAACCTTAACTTCTCTGACACACAGAACAATGTTTGTTTGTTGGCGTTAAACTTTGCATGATGGGAACACCTATAGGAGGTGACAGCTGTAGTTTTGTTTTCCTCTCAGACCTGTGGAGGGTTTTATCAGCAGAAGTCTGGCAGGTCTACACATTTCCTGGTTTAAAAAATGACTGGCTTGTGGAGCAGATCAGCAACATGCTGCTAAAAAACAGCAAGATTTCACACAAGACACACAAAGATGATGCTTCTGTTAAGCTCGCCCACATTACTTGCTTGATTTTAATATTGCTGATAATTAATGTGAAAGTTTTTAAATCATTCTCACTATCGAGAAAGTTTTTCTTCCATACGTTGTTCAGCACGTAACTCATTCAGCAGTTTTTGTTGTACGTCAACAATTCACCAATCAAAACCTTCAGCTCATTCAGGACTTTCACGCTGTGACTGAGTTTTTGTGTTTGTGCAGCTTTTACTTTTTGAAATATTTATCTTCGTCGTCCATGTTTTCCTCATTGAAAATGAATGGAGCTCTCTCCACATCCTTCAAACACTTCAAGCTGTTAGAAACCTTTTACTGCTCATTTTAGCTTTTGTTCTGGTTCAGCTTCTTTCAGCTAATTTCAGCTAATTTCTTTGTTTTATGCTCTATTCCAAAGGTGGGCAAGACTTTTTTTCCCAAAGGGCCACATCAAGACGTTTAAAGCAATCAAAGGGCCACATAGAGAATTGGAAAACAAATTTTCTTTATGACAAATAATCTAGATTTTTCAGTCTTTGTCTCATTGTAGCATAGTTAGCATGCTTTATAAAACATGTCTTTCCAATATCTTTTAGGAATACAGTATAAGATATATTCTGTAAAATGGCTCTTGTGACAATATTATACACGTTAACTTAACATGTTATACATGTTAGCAGAAATATGCAAAACAAACATATATATTTGTATTTCTGTCTTTAAGGTTCAGTGTAGTTCTGGAAACATGGTGACTTAAAAATGTTATTTTTGTAAAGTTTTGCATAAAATGTTTACATTTCTTTAAGTCTTGTTGATAAATTGATGTTTTTTTTTTTTTAATCAATCTCTTTTCTTCTTTTTTTTTAACTAAGGGTATTGGGGGCCTGATGGAAATTGTCCAAGCACCACTTTTGGCCCTGGGCCCTTAGTTGCCTATGTCTGCTCTGTTCGGTATCTTTCAGAAAAATGTAGTGTTGTTCTGTTTTTTCAGCTGCTTTTGTAATGTTTTTCTGCTAATTTTAGCCTTTTTTGTTGTGCTGGTTTCACCTTTTGTGCATCTTTCTAATAATTTCAACATTTCATGCTTCTTTCAGACTCTTTCTACTAATTTCAGCAATTTTTTTTCTTTTTCAGCTACTTTTTTGTAATTTCAACTTTTTTCTGTTGATTTCATTTTTTTGTTTTGCAATTTTCATTACTTTTGTAACCTGTTCAGGCTCTCATTTCCTATTTCAGCTTATTCTGCTACATTTATGCTCTATTCATCTTTTTTCTACACATTTTTGCTGTTTTTCTGCTGCTTTCAGCAAATGTCAGCTGTTTAAATTCAACTGGCGTTAACAGTTCAGCGCTGAAAACTTTTCAGCAGCTTTCAGCAATATTCACTCAGAAATAAGCGTTTGCGCTGCATTTTCACAGGAAATACAATTTCTCTGTTTAAATCTTGAACTGTCTTTCTGTGACTTGGACGACCCCTTGGAGGTTTTATGAAGTATTTATTACGAGGTGATCTTTCAAAGTGTAAACAGAGCAAGTGTTGTGTTTTTCAGCTTGTTTTCAGTGTAAGGCTGTGACCAAAAGTTGTATAAATAACTCTTTCGTTAGACATTTTCTGCTAAATACAGTGAACTTCCTCTTCTCTGTACTTCTGGGAAACAGAAGTTGAGGTTCCTCTTAGTGACCAAAACAAAAGCCAAAAAAAAAAAAGTTTGCTGTTTGGTTCCAGAGTTTTAATCTGTCAGTTTACGACCTCCAGCTTAATTGGGTGTTTTAATTAGTTCTACAAAAAGCCGTCCAGTTCACGAAGTTGTAATGTGTTTAAATAAACCTGAAACAATAAAACGGACTCTGTCACCTGCAGGCATGGCGCAAACGTTGGTTTGTTCTCCGAACCGGTCGCATGTGTGGGAATCCAGATGTGCTGGAGTACTACCAGAGCAAGAACTCCAAGAAGCCCATCCGAACCATCGACCTGAAGGAGTGCGAGGTGGAGATGCTCAACGGGCAGCTCCGGATCAAACGGGACTTTCACGGGAAGCACCTCTTTGTAGTGAAAACGTCCTCTCGGATCTTCTACCTGGTGGCCAAAACCGAGGAGGAGATGAACAGCTGGATCAGGAACATCAGTCAAATCTGCCATTTTAGGAGTCTGGAGGAGGCAGGTAGAGACACACGTTTAGCTCTTTTCTGCTTTGAAACGGCACAGAAGACATTTATTGTGTGAACGTTTATGAAGTATCACAATATTGTGATCCATGTTTCTTCTGTACATTTTTCAGCATCTTTCTCGTTCCACAGTTTTTGTGCTATTTCAACAAATCAAATGTCAAAACATTCAGCTTGTTCACGAGAAGGGTGCTATGACTTTTGGTATTGGTGCAGCTTTAGCTGTTTGAAATATTTAGTGTTCTTTTCTGACACTTTTCCTCATAGAAAATGAATTGAGCTCATTTTACATCCTTCAAATCTTTAAACATTTTTTTCAGCTACTTTCATCTAATTTTGGCTGTTTTTTCTGTTGTTTTGTGCTCCATTCTGATTCTTTCTGCTAACTACAACATTTTTGTGCTTCTTCCAACTTCTGCTCATTTAAGCTTGTTCCTTTTCAGCTAACTTTTTAGCATTTTTTAGCTAATGTCAGCTGTTTTCAGATAAACTCAAGATTTTTGTGGTAATTTCTGTGACTTTCAGCCTAATTAACTTCTTTCTAGTAATTTCAGCTTGTTATGCTTTCAGCTTGCTAGTTTCAGTTTTTCTGCTATTTTAGCTACTATTTAGCTATTTTGTACTAAATTTAGATTTTTCAGCTAATTCCACATTTTTTAAGCTTCTTCCACTTCCTTCTAGTAGTTTAAGCATCTTTCTGCCTTTGCAGCTAATTTTAGATAATTTCAGCTTTTTAGTGAATTTCCAAATTTTTGTGACAATTTCTGCTTATTTAAACCAAATTCAGCAAATATGTGTTCTTCCTGCTTTCGTCTGCTAACTTGCTCTTCAATTTCAGCTACATTTCAGCATGTTTTAGCTCATTTCAGCTGTTTTTCAGCAAGTTCTTCAACAATAAACACAATTTCTCTAGTTCTGCTTTGTTTGTGTCCAAGTAAAAAAATAATAACTGGGGCACCTTCTGAAGTTGAGCCATGCTCATGAAAAATGGTGACAGATACACAAATAAACCTTTTATTTTCAAATCTGTCAGTTTATATCGTATTCAGTCAGTCGCAGTTTTAGTTTGTTTTAACTTTTATTTAAAAAAAGATGTTTCTATGCACAAAGTGCAGAGGAAATTAGTGAGCCTGCTCTCTGAGTACAACCATTAGAACATGGTGCTGTTTTTTATTTTTTCAACTGGAACAACATTATAAGTTAAGTTCTTTGGTATATCGTTAGTTGCTAAATACACTTGTTCAAAAAAAAAAAAAAAAAAAAGCTCCGGCACTCTAACAACTTTGTTTCAACAAAGGAAGTGATGCACGAGGTCAGAACGGCTCATCTGCTGATTTTGTTGGTTTGTTTTTCAGCTTACAGCTAAAAGGGCTGGTCATGTTTCCACTGTAGTTCAAACATATTAGACGTGCAGCTTTAAATGAAACACCCGTGCCCACAGCTGCAGTGATCACTGCAGACTTATTTGTTCAAGATGTGTTCACACAAGTACCAGCTTTGGTCAACATTCAGACGACTACAAGGGCACAGAGTTCAGGCCTGCGCCAAGGTTAGCTTTCTGATTCGCAGAAAGATCCAGACCTGCAGCAAGTCGTGACTTCTACTCCAAGTTTCACCAAATTCATCTGGGTGTCGTCGTACAATCATGCCGAAAACAAAGAGACGCACGGACTGACCAATGGGGTCTAGATGTGCAGTAAAATAATTTAAAAAATTGCCTCAACACTGAAAATAAAACTGAAAAGTCTAAAAGTATTGCAAAGCCATGAAGACTGGTTTAAAGAAAATGTATAAAGACACAAAATATGCACAATAGTTTCCTCAAATCAGTGGTTAATGTGTCTTAAAATTAAAAATGATGTGTTTACTTACAGAAACAGTCAAATTGACTGAAAACAGTTTAACAGTGGTGGCATCCACGGAAGAGCCATTTGCGATAGAGAAGTCCAACAATGTTGCTGTGTTAGTACATATTTATACTTAGATTTGTTGAGTAAAGTATACAGATTATAAAAAACCAGCAAACTCACTGGTTTGAAGACATTTTGCAAAAACTGAGTTTGAGTGTCGAGCTCTCTCTTCATGGCGCTCCACTGCCCTGCTTGATCCCAGATATTTATTCTTCATTTCTTTTCCTTTATTTAACCACGTTAAATCCATACTGAGATCACCAGCTCATTTACGAGGGGGATCTGGAGAAAACGTGAATAACGCACATCATAAAAGTTACAGAAATCAAACATAATTAAAGGACAATTTGAACAATTCAAACATTCATAAAATACAGAAACTATAAGAACAAAATAACATTATTTAAATTAAAAACACTGGCACTGAATGGATTCATGATGCTTTTGTCTGTTCTAAATAATTAAAAAAAAAACATTAGATCTGATATATCTTTAAATATTCTTGGCCCCCTTCTTCTCCCTTTTTTGCATTTAGCAGCAGATTCACTTTTTATTTCTGTTTCTATTTGCTCAGTTTCTGCACTTGTCTCGTTCCGCCATGATTGTTTATCTATTCTGCAGGGAGCTTTTTTGCCCTCCATCACAGCGTGAAGAGGGGACTTGGAAACTCCCTCCGTCCATCCGTTCATCTTGTGAACTGGATAGATTAACAAATAAGTGAGGCGCTGACTTTCATTTTGCTGTGTGGCTGCATCTAAGTGTAAAAAAAGGTCCTTATAAAAAAGATTGGTTCACATCAAAATCCAAGATGGCCACCACCATAAATAGATGTAAAAACCGGCCACCCTGATCATTTGAGGAAACTATGCGTTCTACTTTTTATATTGCTTAAATATATAATTTTTTTAATGATTGGGGTGGTCGCTGGGGTGGTCGAAGATTACGCTATGGCGGGCAAGGCCACCATCGGCCACCCCCCGGCTCCACCATTGCGCCTGGGTGCGGAAAAATGCGTCCCTCTGTGCCGCTTCAGACAACAACAAAAATCTACCTCTGTTCTTCTCCACAGTGTAACTCCTACCCACTTGAATATCTTGCACCAAAAACATTAAGGTCAAATTCTCTGTTCAATTCCTGTCCAAAAAAACCACTCATCTCAAAACCTACAAACATTCACTACTCAAATCCCTCAGCGACGGGGGGAGTTCGTACCCACATTTCAGAATTGCATGTCTGGAAAACTCCTGCTGACTCTTTCAAACTGCACCATATAATTCAGTATAAACTCTTGTTAATGTTTTATTTTATAGATTGCATCGAGTAGCTTTAATTCAAGAAAGATCTGCAGACCTGAGCCGTGTGTCACCTGGTTAATTTTACCACATCGAGCCGACCACAGCGCTGATATCAGATCTGTAAAACAGGATTTCCCTCGATATGAGCTCTTAAACTTTCATGCAGTTGTGGGTAAAAACCGCAAGATGCATATCACGCCTCTCTGCAGCGACATTTTGTTCTATGTTAAAACTAACCTTTAACTATTTCCAACGACTTGTTTTTATTTCTCAGCACAGTATTTATTTATTCATTTACTGAACTAAATTTAAATGCGTGAAGCAGAGAAGCAAAACTTAATTGACGAAGCGCGGCCTCACATTATCAGCTGGTTGTTTGTGTAAAGATGTTCCCAACAGTTAAAAATGATTTACAAGTTGCAAGATGACAGAGAGACAAACTTATGTGTAAATTTATTTCTAAATGCCTCTGATGCATGGCTATTCAAATGGCGCCCCGGAGGCCAAATCAGGCTCACTGGTGACCTCAGTTTGGCCCACCAATGGCAGTGTTGTATAAAGTACCTAAAAGTGGTATTTCAGTGAAAGTACCTTACCATAAAACCATGTACTTAAAGTAAGAGTATTAAGTAAAAGTGATTGGTTAGAGTTTCCAAAACAACATTTATTGGTGCAGTATCCAATTACAAAACTTGGACAGTTTGAAGTGAACAATGAAAGATTTCCTCTCTAATAGTCTGTCACTGTTAGAAACCTCCATCATGGTGGTCACGTCCATAATGAGACTAGCCTCGGCAGCGCTTGCTCTATGGTTGGCTTGGCGGAACGATCTAGACTGCTACTTCCGTTGGTTGCCCTTGACAACAAACATGCAATTTTCTTCTAATTCTATATTGTAGGAACAAGTAACAAAGATAGTTAAGGGAGATGCATCAGAGTAAAAGTACACATTTTACTGAGTAAACATAGTGGAGTAAAAGTGAAAGTCGCTAGAAACGTCAATAACGAAGTAAAGATACGTCAAAATTCTAATTAAGTACAGTAACAAAGTATTTCTACTTTTTTACATTACACTGACCAATGGGTTCATTTTTAAATAAAACTAGATTTTAAACCATAAACAAAGTTGCTTATTGACAATAACTGGTGGATGTCCGGCCCCTGAGCAGTTGAGTTAAATAGTCCTGATCTAATGCACCGTGGGGTAAACGCTTGAATCTATAGCCGCTTCACCGTTTCCTTAAGTGAAAGTTCAACGAGTGCATTTTTATAAAAAGAGATCTTAAGGCCAGTCTGTTAGAACTGTTCGTCTGCATGAAAGAGATACAACAACAGCACCAAGCTGCTGATACTCTGCTTTTTATGTCCCCGTGAGTCCCGAGCAGAATCAGAAAAGTCGACAGTTGTAGCGTGAACTGATAATGCTGAACACAGATATGTGTTTGTCTTTTATCTGTTGCTGCAGCTTTTTTCTCCCAACAGTGTGAAGCACAAAAAGATTACATCTAAATTTCAAGTTTTAACTTTTGCAAAGAGTTGTTGTTTTTTTTTTACCCATAAGAAAACATAAAACATCAATGCTTCCTGAGGACATTTAGGAGATTTTTTTTTTTCTTTTTGGTGATAGGAGGCTGTGCAGAGACGGCCTTGACTCGAAGGTCTGGAGTGAAATGGAATGAAAGAAATTTCTGATGGAGAGCCAAACTGACTAAAACAGAGACAGAATATCCAAACAAAGGAGAAGAAAAGGGACGTAGAAGTGTGTCTGCCTTCAGTGCCTGTTTAAAAAAAAACACTTAAAGCAAAGCGAGCTGAAGTGTTTTTGAGTACAGATTGATTTGATACGTTAAATACCTTCTATATGTCTGTGTCTGCTTGTTTGGGATCAGAGAGCACCGAGGAGGGATTCTCTTTGACGCCCACCTCAAACCAGCCGTCAGTGGACAGCTCTGACCGAGCGTCCGTAGCAAGCCAGCCAGATTCAGGCCACCCACGAGATTACCTCTTCCTGTCACAGTGTGAGACGGGGAGCGTAAGCACCAGTAGGTATGTGCAGCCTGATCTGTAAAGCGTTTGACCCATTGCAGCCAGCTGGTTGTGTTGATCTAACGTGTTCCCTTTACGTATCCGTAGACACGACAGCTTCTCAACCTCTGACATCTCTTTGGAGCAGAGGTTATCAGACGATGCAGCCAAAGACCTCCTCCTCGAGTCCTCCTCATCTTCCGTCTCTTACCCGAGTCCATCTCTTATACCCCACGTGCTGCTGAGCAACCCTCCCTTCAGCGCTCCCTACACCTTCACGGCCTTACCCTCGTCCGCCTCCTCGCCGTTGCGCCACTGCGTCGCCAACGTCTTCCAGTTCGACAAACCCTACCCTTCCAGCTTGTTCGAGGCAACTGGCGATGCGCAAACGCCACCTCCACTACCGCCCAAACCGAATCACCTGGCAGAGCTGCTGAATGAAGACAGAGGTCAAAGGTCGAGGACACTGTGCGCTCAGCATTTTCAAGCCGGGGCGCCGTTATTCTCCCGGAGAACCTCACTGTCGAGCTTGGACCATTTCAGCATAGGTCAGTGTTTAATGTAATGTCCACAACGCACAAAAATGGATAAATCTGCTATTATCAAGATAAAATACACACCTGCTGGTTATTATTTTAGGGCTACATGTGGATTCAAACCTAAACCAGCTGTGACAGCTGAAAAAAATTATGATAATCTGTGTGTGTTTTTTAGGCAACACTGACAGCAGATTAACAAGAAACAGAAGACAAAGTGTCAATCTGGTAAGAGTTGCTGAAAATGGACACGTTTCAAGTCTTTTATTTGAACAGTTTGAAAGTAAGATGACTCTTGTGTTTGTGCAGTAAAAGGGTTAACTTTGTAGCCTTAGAATTAGCTGCAGGTTTTCTCAGCGTAGCACAAAACCCCCTACAGCAAACTGTTAGCCTGGCTTTGTCCCCATACGATAAAAATCTGCTAACATCATGTTCAGAGTTTGTTGATTATAATCTTTATTTAGGGAAAACAAACAGAAAAAAGATCTGAATGTTGTCATTTTTCAGAGATCCTTAGTCTGCACTTTTTAAATGTCCAAACGTATTCACAATGAATAAAGAGTTGGGTTATTTTAGAGCAGATTTACCTACAAACCTCATATTATCTTATGTAGCAGAACAACTACCAGCAAACCCAGTGTTTTTTAGTACAAACACACCAAAAAGTAGCTGTATGCGAACTTTGTGGTGTGTTAACATTCTTTGGATTGTATGAAAAGAAAAAGTCCTTTCTAGCTCAATCCCTGTGTGGTCATTAAATGTGTGAATTTAAATAAAATCTAAAATTTTAACTGGACTTTTCAGCCACGTCTTCCTCTGACAAACCAATCAGGAAGTAAATAAATATATGAAGGTAAACAATGTTGCTAATTTAGCAACAACACTGTTAGTAAAACTGTACAGAGAAGACCGTGTACACAACTCGAAGACAAATTCAGTTTCAAACGTAAACTTTTTAAAAACTCAGAAATTGTCACAAGGACAAAGCCTAGCTAGATGTTAGTTAGCTAAATGGAGCTAACTAGCTTCTGTTAACAGAGAGGTAGAGGATAGATGTCCAAGTGTTCCTGAAAGCAATAGTTCAGATGTTTAAAATCAAGGTTCTGTCAAAAGGTTATACATACAAAAAAAACACTTTCTGTTTAACAAAAAGGGGGGTTTCGTTCTGACCAGACAAAGAAGCTAAGTGCTAATCTGACCAAAATATTGCTGTTGTCTTAAAATAGCTACAATAAAATGATAAAAACTGCATAGCCATCATGCAAAAGAGTTATTTTATAAATCCTTACATTCCTGTTGATTTGCTTTTGCATGTTTTTCCCAGCAGAAATATGATGCTCGTGTTTTAGGAGCCCAAGATGCTCCAGAAGTGCTACAGCTAGCTGCTTCTGCTTTTTGTGCTCGTGAGTTACCACAGAATTCTGGGTAAAAAGAAAGTTTGATCAAGATACTCGTCCAAGTATTTGCACAATGACAAGTTGAAAACAAAAGACGGCACGTCGTGGGAAGTGAATTTACACGCATAACCGTGCAATGGCATTTAATGTTATTTTATGTTTTTATTTTTTAGCTTTAACCTAAAAAACAAAGTACCACATAGCCATAAGATTCTCCTTATAAGTTAGATAATCCAATCAATTATATATCATTAAATAGATCTAACAATATTTATTTTATATTGGTACACACGAAGAGCAATGTAACTACGTTTTGGAGCCTTTTTTCTCAAGTATGTTGTGTTTACTAATTCACATTTTACTCCTGGCCAAGGTTGCACAAAATTGTAAAACAGTGCAATTGCTAATTGATGAATATTGCAACAACAATAAATCCACATATTCCTCGTTCAGTTTTTTTTCTAGTGCCATTGTGGCCCATAACACGCTTTAGTGTTGCTTTAGCATTGCTTTAGCATTTAGCTTTAGCATTTCAGCCACGCTCTTCTAAATCAGCCGTGGGCATTTAAGATAGTGAGGATGGTGGCTGTTCTTGCAATGTGTTGTGTGTCGTTTGAGATGTCCTGATGGTGACGTAAAGGTTTTTTAAAACAGTGTTTGCATGAACCACTCTGATTTTTTTAGAATGAAATTGTTTTAAGATGGCAGCAATCCACTTTAGCTGTATTTTGACCTCATGCTAACCATTAGCTTATAAATCAGATCAGAACTCAACTTGTTTTTTCAAACTAAGGTTTAAAATACTATTTACGTACATAAAGGTGCATAAGTTATTTTTGCCGTACAGCACTTTGATTGACCTTGTTGTTGTTTTAAGTGCTTTATAAATAAAGTGGTATGGTATGGTATAATAAATAAGGTATTTTTAGTTTGTAGCCTTTCCACAGAAACCAACTACAAAATGTCTGAACTACAGCTCCTGTAATTTTTTTTTACAAACGCAGAGATAAAAAATATTAAAAGGTTAGCAAAGCCATGTGAAATCAACCACAAGGCAGCCCTGCAAAAAAACTTTATGTTTTTTCTCTAAATGCAGACAGAGTTTGTAATAAAGCGATAAAATTATGAGTGTTGTTATTTTATCACTGACTCTTATGCGGTCAGACCTCATGAATAGTTTCTTGTTTAGCACCAGATCCTGTGGAATGCAGGTTTTAACCCCGAGGAGTGTATGTACTGTATATTTCAGATACAATCATGTTGTTTTGCTCAAACTATTTGTGCCCCAAAGTGGGGGGAAGTTTTCTTTTCATAAAACAAACCAAGGAATTGTGATTTTTTTTTAAAAATGTAGCAAACATTAGCTTTATAAACTCTTTCAGCTGGACATTAGATCTGCTTTAATTCACCTGTGTGATCACGTGGTACTTTGGTCTTGCAGCCTTGTTTAAACAACAGACAAGTTCAAAGCTACCAGGATGACTCGTATGTCCCCATGGCATCGCCCTCTCCCTCTGGAACGTCTGTCCAGTGTGACAGTTATATCCCCATGAGCCCCAGGACCTTCAGCTTCCTCGGTACGAACGGCAGCGCTGAGTCTTCCTCATCGCTCAGCTCGCCAACGTGCCAAACTGGAGATCCTGCACCGCCTCCAATTCATCGGCACCTCAAGCCACGCTTAAGGAGAGGTGAGATTCCTATCAGTCCTGAGCAGCTTGTTAGAACTTTTCTAAAAGTGGGGTTGTGTGGAGTTGTTGTACGTAGTATCTTACCTGCAACATGACAAAGTCAGACTAACAGCTAGTCATGGTGTATGTGCATCATCTAAAGCCACTCATATGTTTTTAATTGTTGAGCAAAGTAAGTTTGTTAGCATGTTAGCATAGCATGTCTAAAAATATCTCACCAATCACTGACTGGACTTCAATGAAAATCTCAGAAATTGATCTACAACTGATTCACTTTCGGAGTCAAACCAATTCAAGATGGCTGCCTCAGCTAACTGAGGCCGTAGCAAACACAAAAATTGCTATGACTGTCAGTTTTAGAAATACTGAGGTAAAACTTGGTGTGGTAGTAGCTAAGAGTTACCCCAAACACATAGTCTGAGCACTAAGTGATTGTTTAAGCTTTGCCATTACGGGAGTCAACTGTTAGCCAAATATCTCATGAGCCAGAGGCCAGATTTCAAGGAAACTCAGAAAGTATTCACTTGACATGCATCTAAAACTTATAAACCTTTAACCAAGTCAACATTGCCACCACAGCCATTACTGTAGCAAACACAAACGTTGCTGTAATGCAGGCAGTTTTACAGATGATGAGCTGAAAGTTAGTGTGGTAGTAGCTGAGCCATCCCCAACTCATACTCTAAAGGCACTAGATGTTTATATATTTTGCAGTAACTATTAAAAGCAACTTTTGTTGGCCAAACACCTCATGAATCCTGAAGATCTACAACTGACTGACTCTTAGAATCAACCCAATTCAAGATGTCCGCCACAGCTAAGTGACCTTAGCCAACAGAAAATGCCTAGAAGTTTTACAAATATTGGGCTGAAATGGAATGTGGTAGTAACTGAGTCATTCATAACATCCTCCGAGTGCCAGCGGAAATCCTGTACAATGTTGTATTCATGGTTTGACCAAATGTCTGTAACTCCATCCCTTCACAACATTGAGTGATGCGAGTTGAAAACTCAAATATTTCATCGAGGAATGCTCAGCCTTCAACTAAACTTTGTTCCTTTTGCATCAGACAAGTGTTTGCATTGTTGCTATTTTTCTAACGTTTGTGTTGCTATGTGCAACTGCGTGCACATTGGCTGCTGAACTTTTCACGTCACCGATCAGCTGAGTTGATCTGAGTCTCTGTATGAACGGGCTCGTACAGATGGCCTCTTATCCTCTGAGACAAAGGCAACGGAGCTTTTAAAAACTCTCACGTTCGCTGATTGAGTTTTGAGTTGAAACGGGCAGCAATTTGAGACATATCTACCGGTAATTCGTGAACGCAGCACATAGCAACACGGACGTTTGAGTATGAAAATAGTGTCAACATAAACAACAGCTTAATGTAAAAATACTTCATGATGCACTTCCCTCTGTTTGGAAAAATTTGAGTTGGAGTTAGTTCAGACAGCAGATGTTTGCTTCTGAATGGCTCTGATTAGCCGTTAGCTCGGCTCCCCTTTAAGAATTTCTTCCTGTTTCTTCAAACCAAGTCTAATCTGATATTTACTTACGCATAACTCGACACTACCCCCTAATTCCAACTAACTCTGATATTATCTTTAACTGGAAGCTGTCAGTCTGTTGCACGTATGTAATCTGTAATGTATCTTATACACAAAAACTCACACATGCACTGTTGATTTATGAAAAACGTCAGTTCATGATTTGAATAGATGTTTGATACACATTTTATATCTCTTATCTGACTTTCTTGTGCAAAGTTTCCAAATTTCCAAGCAATACATTTCCTTTATCTTGATCCACAGCTCGGCCCCCACCTCTGGACTTGAGAGGCCTCTCTACAATCACCGAATGTCCCACTCATATTCCTTTAAGCAAAGCAATTACTGAATTATGGTGAGAAGAAACACATTGATGCACTTTAAACCATGAATGACACAACCACCTTGATTAGATTCAAACAAGGCTTCCATTCTTATTTTGTATGATTCAAATATAGTGTTAAAATTATAACTTAAACCTTGTTTTAGAAGGTTTATATTGAAAAAATTATAAACAGTATCTTACCTGTTGTAGATAGCTTTTGACAGCATTTTTGATAGTCAGTTTCTGGTCTAGAAGTGGAAGCAGTCGCAGGATTGTTGCAAGATTATACATTTGTTAGGGTCGTATGGAATAATTAAAATGTTCTTTGCTTTTTTAAGACATTCAGTTGTTTATCACGTGTACATTTTACATTTAGATTCCTTTGTAACTTCAGTGTGTCTTTGTGTCCCTGTAGCTTCCCAGCAAACCCCTCACCTCTTGACAGAAGGCTTGAGAATGGGGACAGTTCAAGCAATGAAGTGACAAACTGCTCTGCTTTGGTAAGATCTGAAATTAAAGACGTTTTTGTACAATATATTTGTAGTTTACAGACTGTGACTCAACCAGGCAATTAAACAAAAGATATCAGCTCACACCTTGAGTGTTTAATTCAGGGGTTCCCAACCATGGTCCTTGAGGAACGCCATCCTGCATGTTTTAGTTGTTTCCCTGTTCCAACACACCTAATCAGCGATTTTATTATTTCCTGAAGTTCTGCCAAAGCCTGTTAAGCACCCATTCATTCAAATCAGGTGTGTCAAAGCAGGGAAACAACTAAAACATGCAGGACTGGGCTCCTCGAGGACCAGGGTTGGGAACCACTGATTTGATTTATACATCAAAATATGATGCCACCTGATCTGAAAAGTTAAACTTAACTTTAGGTCAAAGTAAAATAAAGTTAGTTTGTACAATCTTATATTATGAGCCAGATTCAGGTCAATATAAACTTCAGTTTTTCTTCTTTTTTTGTATAAAACAAGAATCTATGACCATCTGTTAATGGATAGTGTTCTGAAATGTCACATACCTTGACAAAAACATGAAAAGGAACAAATAAATTTGTAATGACTCTTTTAGTCTAAATTTATTTGTGTATTTATAAAAGTGGGATGTTATTTTGCAATTGATTTTGTCCACATTTGTCAAATCTTTTAATGAAATAATCAATAATTGGACATTTTGTTCATCCCCTAAAGAGAAAAGCTCAGTAACACCTATTTGCTTTCTCTGGCAGGAATCGAGGCCCTTGTCCTGTCTCACCTTTGATGGAACCGTTCAGCCCTGGACCAGAAGCTCGAACTTGGATTATTTGTCACTGGATTTCAACTCTGCATCCCCCTCGCCTGTACAAAAGGTATGCTTTGGTGAACAATGCATGAGAAGAAGTAATCAAATAACATTTTAATTTTTTTAAAACGGCAAACTATACAGCATATATGTTTTCTTTTGGCAATGAAAAATGCATATTCTGCAAAGAAAGCCAGATCCAGTGAGTCAGAATCAGAGGTCAAAACATTTTGTGCACAGGCATCATTTTATCTGAGAACAGTCAGTTGTTTAGTTTCAATAAAGTTGAACAAATTCTTAATTTCAGGATCAATAACTTCTAAATAGACTCTCAGCTCACTGTAAAATCACAATCACCTCACCTCTATGACAGAAAAGTGGATTATCATTCAACAGTTTAATATAAATCAAAACAAGTTTAGCACCAAGAATGGCGAATGTTTAGGGACCGTCAACAAAAGTCACGAGGATTAAAATTCACTAGAATGAAACAAACGCTCATATTTCTAACCGTTAGTATGACTTTAACAGGAAACAAATGGGTGATTCAGAAGGGATTTACATGACACCACAAACAACATTACTGTTATTAGTGAATATTTTAACTTACTGTTGATGTATAGACAGTCCCTAAACTCGTTTTTCCTCTTGTGGTGTGTTTGTTTAAGCCAGTTTTGCACTGATCTGTGATAGTTGGCAACAAATTTGGAAGTGAATTTTCAAAATATTGACAATTCTCAGTTTCCTGTAGTGAGTTGCAGGGCCTTGCTCTTGTGCTGTCTCAAACTTTGTGAGTCAGAGAGGACAAGTAATTTGAGATTACTTTGTGAGGAGTTGGTTAAATTGTGATAAAAATCAATTACTGATAGTAGCAACAGGAAAAAAAGATGTGCTGCAGGTGAGCCTGATCTTCATCCATCAGCTTTAACACTTCTTCTCATTCATGATAAAGTGATTGCTGAACTAGGAAGAGGTCCAGTATTCATAATACCCAGACTTTTCAGAACAGTCGTGTCACTGTTGTGTGACATTCTTGCAACTGTCGAGCAGTACTTGTGACAAAAATTTGTAGTTTGGTTTGGTTGCAAAGATGCCAAAAACCAGTCACTAAGGAGTACAAGTCAGTCTTGTGCCGGTTCCAAGCCTGGGTAAATGGTGAGGGTTGTGTCAGGAAGGGTATCTGGCAAATTAGTTTTAGCAAAAGTGTTTTACGTCAGTTTATCAAATGACACCATTACAGATCGGTCGAGGCCCGGGTTAACAACAACCACCACTGGTGCTGATGACAAACAGGGTGCCGGTGGAAATTGTGCCACTGTTTGTTGAAGACAATGAGGAGGGAAGTGTGTCGGGAGACAAAGGAAGAAGAGGAAAGTCAGGAATGTAGGACTGAAGGTGGCAACTCTAAATGTGGGGGCAATAACAGGCAAAGGTAGAGAGTTGGCTGACATGATGCAGAGAAGGAAGGTAGATGTTTTGTGTGTCCAAGAGACTAAGTGAAAGGGCAGCAAGGCTCGCAGCATTGGAGCAGGGTTTAAACTGTTTCACCATGGTGTGAATAGAAAGAAAAATGAAGTAGGGATGATCCTGAAGGAGGAGTTGGCAAAGAATGTAGTAGAGGAGAAGAGGGGGTGATGTGCCTGAAGGTAGAAGTAGAAGGTCTGATGCTAAACATGTCAGTGGTTTTGCGCCACATGTTGGATGTGATATAGAGGATAAAGAGAAATTTTTGAAGGATCTGGATGAAGTGATAGAGTATTCCCAAGAAAGGGAAAGTGGTAATAAGAACAGACCTGAATAGACATGTAGGTGAAGGAAACAGAGGGGATGAGGAAGTAATGGGTAGGTTTGGTGTCAAAAAAAGAAACCAGGAAGGACAGATGGTGGTGGATTTTGCCAAGAGAATGGAAATGACTGTAGTCAACACATTTTCAAAAGAGGGAGGAACACAGAGTGACCTATAAGAGTGGAGGCAGGAGAACGCATGTCGACTACATTCTGTGTAGAAGAGGAAACCTGAGGGAGATCGGGGACTGTGGCATCAGGTTGTGGCAGGGGAGAATGTGGCCAGATAGCATTGGATGGTTGTGTGTAGCATGACTGTTGTTGTGAAGAAGAGAAAAAGAGAAAAATCAGAGAAGACCAAATGGTGGATGCTGAGGAAGGAAGTGTGATAGAACGTAAAAATGTATTTAATAAGCAAACTTTTATAGTCACATGGGAAAATGAAGGGTTCACTGGAAGCTCAGGTTGATAAGAGTTTCTTCACGAACCTCCTTTACTCCTTAAGAGTACTGACTGACCTTAGGTATCTCGAATCCTTCATCCTCCCTGTTCATTAAAAATAATGATGACTTGGCTGTTTTCCTGATTTAAACCTTAAATCTCAGGCTGCATCTTTTCACCTGTTTTCTTAAGAACTCCTGTACCAATGCAGACATGTTCCTGTTTTTAGTTTTCTACATTCGCCTTAGAATCTAGCTGTTTTTTTGTTGTTGTTGTTGCCTTTTCCTTTTAGCCATCCTATTTGTAAAAAAAAAAACAAAAAAAAAAACTGCAGTATGACTTTTTATAATTGTTTATTGTTGTTGCTGTTGTCCATTGTTGTCATCTTTCTTTGTTGAAATCAGGTCTCTCTTGTAAATGAGTCCTCGAGGCTCAATGGGATTTAACTGTCTAAATAAAGGTTGATTGATTGATATTAGGAAATGTGTGTGTGTAACTGAAAGGTCTATAAAAGGTCAGTTAATTGTTCGTTCGGGGCTTCACTTTTGCACTGCAGGCAGACGGAGCCTTCGGATGCTTGTTTAAGCCTCTGAAATAAAGACACTTGCAAGATCAGATCTGATCTCTTGATTTAGCTCAGCAACTTACTTCTCACTGTTTGTTAAAGTTTCCACAACAGAAGACTGTTGTGAGGAGTTTAGAGAGGAGCTGTTAAAGGCTCTGGATGGTAAGAAAGCGCTTCCAGATGACTGGACTAGTACAGCAACAGTAATTACTGTAGAGAGAGAAGTAGAAAGGTACTTGGTGTGTCATCTGGACAAAGAATGGATGATAAGGAAGCCTAGTGGTGGAATAGTGAAGTGCAGGAAGCTATTCAAAGAAAGCGGTTAGCCAAGAAGAAATATGACAGTGAGAGGACTGAAGAGAGGAGACAGGAATATAAGGAGATGGAATGTAGAGTAAAGAGGGAGGTAGCTACGGCTAAGCAGAAAGCATATGATGAGTTGTATGGGAGGCTGGATACTAAAGTGGGCAGGAAGGACTTGTAGCGATTGGCAAGACAGAGGGATCAGGCTGGAAAGGATGTGCAGCAGGTTAGGCTTGTTAAAGATAGGACTGTAATGTTCTAACAAGTGAGGAGAGTGTGATATGAAGCTAGAAGGAGTACTTTGAGGAGCTAATGAATGAAGAGAATGAAAGAGAAAGAAGAGTAGAGGTCATAGAGACTGTGGACCAGGAAATGGAAAAGATTGGAGAGGGTTAAATTCGGAAAGCTCTGAAAAGACGGAAGAAGGGAAAAGCAGTAGAACCTGATGACATACCAGTGGAGGTTTGGAAATGTCTTAGACAGATGGCAGTGAGCTTTTTGACTCATATATTCAATGGCATATTTGAGGGCGAGAAAAAGCCTGAGGAATGGAGAAGTGCGCTGGTGCCCATTTTTAAGAACAAGGGTGGTGTACAGAGTTGTAGCAACTACAGGGGAATTAAGTTGATGAGCCACACGATGAAGATCTGGGAGAGAATTGTGGAAGCTAGAGCTAGACAAGAGGTGAATATTTGTGAGCAGCAGTATGGTTTCATGCCAAGAAAGAGCACAACAGACACCATCTTTGTTTTGAGGATGCTGATGAAGTACAGAGGGTGTCAGAAAGAACTCCATTGTGTCTTTGTGGATTTAGAAAAAGCATATGACAGGACGCCAAAGGAGGAGGTGTAGTGTTGCATGAGGAACACTGGAGTGGCAGAGAAGTATGTTAGACTGGTACAGGACATGTATGAAGACAGCAGGATAGTGGTTAAATGTGTTGTAGGAGTGACAGATAGCTTCAAGGTGGTGGTGGGATTGCATCAAGGATCAACTCCGAGTCCCTTCTTATTTGCTCTGGTGATGGACAAACTAACCTGCTCTTCATTCTCACCACAGATCACAATGTCATCTACAAACATCATAGTCCGCGAGGATTCCTGCCTGACCTCATCTGTTTGCAGATGACATTGTGATCTGTGGTGAGAACAAAGAGCAGGTGGAAGAGAATTTGGAGAGGTGCAGGTATGCACTTGAAAGAAGAAAGTCAGCCTTAGTGAGACAGAGTTCATATGTGTGAATGAGAGGAAGGCTGGTGGAACAGTGAGGCTACAAGAAGCAGATGTCACAAAGGTGCAGGACTTCAAGTACTTGGGGTCCACTGTTCAGGAAACGGGGAGTGTGGTAAAGAGGTGAAAAATAGAGTCCAGGCAGGATGGAGTGGATGGAGAAAGGTTTCAGGAGTAATTGTGATAAAAGAGTGGCAGCAAAGGTCAAAGGAAACGTTTACAAGACATTTTGTGAAACCAGCTATGTTGTATGGTCTGGAGACAGAGGCATGGACAAAAAGACAGGAGAAAGAACTGGAAGTGGCAGAAATGAAGATGTTGAGGTTCTCCTTAGGGGTGACAAGGATGGATAATATTAAGAATGAGATCATCAGAGGTACAGCACAAGTTGAAAAACTGGGAGATAAAGTTAAAGAGACTAGACTGAGATGGTTTGGACATGTCCAGAGGAGGAACAGTGGGTATATTGGTAGAAGGATGTTAGAAATGCAGCTGCCAGGAAAAAGACAGAGGAGATACATGGATGCAGATAGAGAGGACATGGAGGTAGATGGAGTGAAGACAGAGAATGCAGAGGACAGAGTGAGATGGAGGAGTGTGGCACTGTGGCAACCCCTGAAGAAGTAGAAGTTTGCATAAATGCCAGATATAGCGGTGTAAAATACATGCAAACTGGCAGTTTTTGGCTCAAAGTTGTACTTTAGTTTAAACATGAATGTTAGATTTACTGCCTCAGCTTTACGTTTAAACAACACAACATGTGCTGCACAAAGACCCCAGTATCATTACAAAATCTATGCACAACTTTAATAAACAGAAGGAAGAATTTTTTTTAGTACCTCTGATACCTCTGGATAGCTCTTTGAACAACCTCGGTTTTTCAGTTTATTTCTGACATGATTGACAAGCTAACAAATCTGAATTAATTCTCACAGTATTGTCTTCTGTTCTGTGACTCCTCGTGTCTCCCAGAAGCCATTCCTGTCTGACGAGTACAAGGTGGACTACGTGCAGGTGGACGAGAAGAAGACTCAGGCCCTTCAAAACACCAAGATGGAGTGGACAGATGTGCGTCAGTCAAAAACATAAACACAACACATCTGATTGCACAAATATGGGTAAAGAAAAACAATAACGAACGCTCACGGAGGATCAACCGCCATGTGAAAGCACTTTGAAGGACAACACTGAAGTAAAACAGCAAGAGCAAAGAAGCAATTAGATGTTTTTTTATTTGTTTGTTTTGTTTTTTGTAGAGAACACACAACATTTGCACTGGTTAAGAGCTGAACTGTATATACTACTCAGTTATGCAACAATCACTGTGATTTTTCTGCTCATTGTAGCCCAAAAGGTTCAATCAGTTTTATTAAGATAGAAAAAAAACCTGTAAATATTTGTATAAACAAATGTAATATAAAACTTTAAATCTGGGTGTTTGAGTTTCATTATGAGCATTCATTGCAGTATACTTCAGTTGAACATTTTGTACATTTTATTAGCATGTTTGTAACTTTTTTTTTTCTGGGCTCCATGGTTACACACGTGTTGCGTCACGGACATGCGCAGAGCGGAGTTAGGGAATGGCGGCTAGTGAGAAGTACAGAGAGGGAAGTCATCGCCGTATTTATGTTTACATGATCATCACCTCCTATTTGAACGCTGTGACCACCTGAGAGAGGCAGAGGACAGGGTGGAGAGGGAGGAAGACATTTTGCTAAAATAGATAAAAAACAGTCGACTCACATCGCTCCCGCAGACCTCCGCGTTTCTTCTTCTACGGTTTTGCTGCGGTGCACCGACAATTAACTCACAAACTGGATGGCGAGGAGGGGAACCACAGTGTGTTTTCAACAGTCTTTCGGGGGGGACACTGGTGTGTGTGAGACTTAACGGTGATAGCAAACACCACGGCTAGCTTAACGGCAGCTGGAGACAAATGAAGGCGGCCAAAGCTGCTCCGCGGCCTGCCTCGACCTCCAGCCAGCCCGAGTAAAGAAGTTAAAGCCAAGTTAGCTCCGAGGCACAGCTCGGCTGGACCCGGGCCGTGTGGCCAGGCGGTGTGCGGGTAAGTCCCTTCACTCCAACACTCTGAGGTGGTTTTAAACTGTTTTTTTGGTGTGTGTGTGTGTGAACAAATCCAGACTGCGTGTCTTTGTTTGCCCCCATGAAAAGACTCCACCACCGCAGAGCTAATGCCATGTAGCCTGTTGCTTCACCTGAAAACCTTTGCTTGACGTTTAAGTTAAATACATTAATGTAGCAAACACACTGGTATCAAAAGTAGATTCATAAAGCTCAATGTGCATTCTATGGATTTTTAATGCAGGGATATTCCACACAAAATGGTCCTAAATAAAAAGTTGAATGTATTTTTTATGTAGACACCAAACAACAATGATGTGGTAGCTCCCCCGGTTGTATCTGTGATAGGGCATCAAATAGAAAAGAAAAGAGCATCTAGTTTCTAAACTTTATTATCAAATGCAACATACAAATCCACAGTTGCACAAAGTTTTGAAAGTCTACACAAGGTACATATTTGTGGTTTACAGTTTTTTATTCACCCAATTACAACTGAAGGAAAAAAAAAACGTAACTACAATCTTTTAATTGTTTTTGTAAAATGAAAAGTTGATCATAAAACAGCCTAACATTTCTGATTCAAAGGTGAAACAAGTGTACAAATATAATGCAGCAAAGTGCATCAAAATTGATCAAATTTCACCTTGAACTTGTGGAACATGTTACGTACGTTACATAAAAACTGACCTGTATCAAACAACATACAGCTTTCAGGTATTGCTATAGTCAAACTGCATTGCAGAAAGAGCACAATATGATGACACTGCATTATATAATATATAACATTAATACTGGATGGTAACCCTTAATATTTTCCAGATAAAATTAATAAAATAACATCTTCACCACCAGTGTCGAGCCTACTGTGCCAACCATGCTGCTGATGTCATGCTGCTGATTTATTTCATGCTGATGTGTTCATTCGTACTCATCTACTCACAGATTCATGTTCGTGCTGTTGTTGTTCGGCGTTTTGTTTTTGCACTATTAAGTGTTTAGCGTATTTCTTAGTTCATATCTTAGATCTTATTACAGTTTTACCTTTACAATTTATACTTTTGTTGGATGTAACTGGGACCCTGTGTACACAATTTTGTTCCACCACATGTACCACATGTGATGTGAATGACAATAAAGAAACCTTAACTTGAGCAACTGGTGCAGATGGGTCCAATCTGCCAAGTACATTGTACTTGTAGTGCAAAACATGAACTTACATAGGCCAGTACCATTTTGCTTTTCTAGCTGACTGCATGATAATTCAATTCAGTTTATTTATAATAGCACCAAGTCACAACACAAGTTGTCTCAGGGCCCAGAACAGAAACATTCACATACATAAAAAGCCTATTTACCGGTAGTAAAGTTATCTTTCTAAGGAAGTACCAATGACAGAAACAATTGTCTTAACATCGTATTTAACCAAAGCTCTGTCACCATCCCTAAATAAAATCATGCATACATAGCACTTAGTAAATTCAATATCATATCTGTTTATAATAAATGGAGTGAATTGACTAATTGGATTTAAATCTGGATCCATGATTCAGACTTCTTGTTGTGAATTGGTGCTTTATAAATGCTGAATCATGTACACTTCATTTCAGAAGTATTCAGCCCTAAATTATCCTAACAAGTTTAATAGTTGCTGCTTTTTATGACAACAAAATGTCATTGTGTTGGTTTGATCAAAGGTTAGTATTTCTGAGTGACTTTTGGGAGGAATTTCTCTTGTGCCAATATCGCCGCTCAGAAATGCATCTGCTGTTCTAGAAGTGCCATAGTACAATTATGTTTAAAAAGAGGAAACTAAAAGATTTGTTTTCTTGACAGACTTATCCAACTTAACTACTGGTAATCATTTGACATGACTGCTGCCTGTAATTTATAATTTTTATATATTAAAGACTACTCCCAAGATTTCACTCCACTTTTTATCAATATCAAATATTTCTACTGACAGAGCCTTACCTGTAGAAAATACATTAAGAGTGTTTAGGGAGTCAAACTTCAAAATTCAGAAGAACTTTATCTACAGAACTGCATCTAAAAATGGAAGACGTTAATAAAATAAAAGTTAAAGTTCCTGACTGATAGATGCATAGACGAGCGGTTCATTAGTTCTATGATGGGATATAATTTTGGAAGAATAGATGATTGTGCTCGAGCATCCTGTGCTCGAGCATCAATGTGTGGCATGGAGGCTGCACAGCTGCAGAAAGAAAAGCTTTGCAGAGAGTGGTGAAGGCTGCACAGAAATCTGTTGGAATCAGCCTCCCCACCATCACAGACATCTACACCTCCAGATGCAGGAAGAGGGCCACCTGCATCATGAAGGACCCCACTCACCCAGCACACATACTTTTTGCCCCACTCCCCTCAGGAAGGAGGTTAAGGAGCATTAAATGTAGAACCACTAGACTGAGGAACAGCTTCTACCCTGAGGCTGTTAGACTCATGAATCTCCAACTAGAATAATCACTGTGAAAAACCATATCATGTTGCTGCTGATCTGTTTCATGTTGCTGCTGATCTGTTTCAATGTTGATGTGTTCATGCGTGCACATCTGCTCACAGACTCATGTTCATGTTTGTGCTGATGTTCAATGTTTTATGTTATGAGTGCTTAGTGTATATTTAGTTGATGTTTTTCTTAGTTCATATCTTAGATGTTATTACTGTTTTTCTTATACATTTTATTGTTGGATGTAACTGGGACCCTGTGTACATAATTTCGCTCCACCACATGTACCACATGAGGTGCGAATGACAATAAAGAAACTCTGACTCTGACTCTGACTCTGATAAAATTAATATTAAAACAAATTAGAACAACAGATTAGAAATAAATATTTGTGCAAAAAACAGTAGTGCAATGCAAACAGGCATATTCATTCTACTTACGAACAGGATGGCAGGACAAGACAGACTTTAGCCATTAGAAAATATACCGTATTTTCCGCCGTACACGTCGCACCGCCCTATAAGTTGCGTCAGTGCAAATATGTCTAATAAAGTGGAAAAAAACATAAATAAGTTGCTTCCCCATGTACGTTGCATCTATTATGCGTCACCGCTGACAACCTGTAAATGTGTGCCGGTGTTGTGCCAAAAATTGATTAGCTGCCAAATGGTGTGGGAGCGTGCTGGGAGGACACACTGTGCATTTCTTCGAAATCTAACAAGATAACCACCTAAAAACAATTATTTGTTTGCTCGACTTTATAATAAAGGTGTGTCTCAGTTGAACTTTTACTTAATAAATGCACTTTAATGGACAGATCAGCTGCATATTGCCGGTTCGGCATAGTGAAACAACGCTGATTTGACGGTTGCTCCAGGCGAGCTGGACGAAGGTGGCAGGCTGTGGCAAGCTGATTGTGTCACGGTTGTGTCATTAATAGCCACTTTAACCTATTACATGACACAACGGCATGCCATACTACTCGAGTGCCATCTAGTGGCTGAAATTGGTAGTGTTCTATATTTTCAGTGTCGGAATGAATGAAAACGGTCATATCTCAGCCAAAACTTAGTTTATAAATATAAGAAAAAATACATAAATACGTTGCTTTGTGGTATACATCTCAGTGTATGTAAATTATGCAAAAAACTGTGACTTATAGGCCGAAAAATACAGTATGTATGCATGTATATATGTATGTCTCTATATTCGTATAAGCAAAAGTCAGCATGGTAAATTTACTATTTCCCAAACTTATTTTATTCTTTAAGAAAATATAAACTATTTTTAAAATAACCTTTTGAGAGTTTTTTTTTTTTAATATATATTTATCAAATAAGAGTTACAGAGTCACAGTTATGGTTGCCATTCTGAAAACTATTTGTGAACCTAAAGTTTTAAAATATGCTACATAAATGCAGTTCACCATAACACGACATTCACAAGTTCAGCCCTGAAGTGTATTCAGCGTTTACAGTTTTACTGAAATGAAGGAATTTAACAAAATTAATCTCGTAATGTTTTGAAGAAGACTTGAACTGTTTAGGGTCATGAATTTAAATGTAAATGTTTAGGACTATAAATCAAAAACGGTTCAAATGCATGGAGTTTTCTTGTGCAAGTGTTGCTTAATTTAAAGTAAATATTTATTCTTAACCAAAAATAGATATAAATTTGTACATTTGAGTGTGTGTAAGTGTTGTTGGAACCCTGTAAATGTGATTTAAATTTTTTTCTTCTTCACTACAGGGTTCAGATGGAGGAAACGCTCTTACCATCAGCTGATCTTTAAACCTCAACCATTATGACTTCTTTCCGACTCTTGCTTTTCTAAACGTAGCAGCCATGACTTCTCATAAAAGAGAAGAGCTGCTGAGTGATGGCAAGGACTCGTCCTCGGTCCCTGGTCAGCTTTACCGTCGCGGTCCCGATGGCGCCACAGAGGAGCTTCAGTCAGATCCGGTGAACACAACATCAAAATCTCAAAAAACCTGGAAATTAAGAAGGACTGCCTTGACTTTCTTTGGTGTTAGAAGTATCTGTATTTTACCCAGCTTTTTCAGAGGGAGGATCAAAAATCAGGGCAAGAAAGAAATCTGCAGAAGCAAAACGCATGACGGGCTGAGTAAGGTCGGTCATGACGACAGTCCCAGGAGCGAGTACGTCTCGACTGGAGATTTGGAGTACCACAGCCAGAGGGATGCAGCAGGAGAGCTCCACGGTAGCTGTCACAGTGAATGTAGTCACCCTGCCGCCGACCAGAAATCACTGACTCTCGGCCGGCAGAGAAAAGGTTTGAGGAGTCTTTTTCAAAGTTTTAAGCAGCACAGAGCTCAGAGAAATGCTGAACCAGGGAAGACTGCTGAATCCTCCCCTCAGTGCAAGAAAGATGTGCCTGTTGTCCAGCGCAACCCCATCCTGTATGCCACCGAGTGCCTGGGATCTGAACCCGATGTGCCTGATTTTGCAGCTGTGTTGTGCAATGTTTCCCACGGTCTCCGTTGTAGTCATGAAGATGTGGTGGCATTAGAAAACTGTGCAGAACGGGAGAGTCCAAACTCTGAGCTTGATGTTCAGGCACGTAATGATCAACTTGAGGACGTGAATTCAAACGTCGGAGTTTCTTGTAAATATGAGACTTCTAGGCGTTCCAGCGAGCCATGTCTGAAAATGCAGGTGGCTCCTGAGCCCATGTTGAAGTCTCAAACTGCTGCCAGCTCATCCGATCAGCTGAATATGATTTTTGGAGACGTGGCATCTTTAAAGAGTTTCGATTCGCTCACCGGATGCGGGGACATAATCGCAGATCAGGAGGACGACAGCTTCACGGAGAGCACCGTTTCTGGAGAGCGGAGCAGAAACGGAGGGAAGAGGGCCTCTTGTTATCTTACCTATCAGGGTGGGGGGGAAGAAATGGCCTCGCCTGAGGATTTGAATGACACGGGTCTTCGGGACTTCTGGGCAAACAACACATCGGAGGAGGTCTGCTGTACTTGTGATCCAGAGCTGGCAGATGTGACTGAGCTGACGAGTTCTAACAATATGGACGTGCTGAACAGCAGCAGCACACAGCAGGCTGGTGGCATGGACACCTCCTCTATTGCCGATGATTTAACCCCTCAAAGTGAACATCAGGAGTCCGTTCCAAACAGTGATGAGGGCTATTATGATTCTACCACCCCTGGGCCAGATGAGGGGCAGGAAAAAAGGGACCGGTTAAGAGCAGCCAGTCTACCCAGGGACAGTTATAGTGGTGATGCTCTCTATGAACTGTTCGCACCTGATGAGAGCCTGATCAGTCCTCGTTACGAGAGCAAATCGCAGCTTCCCAGTTTGAAACACTGTGACTATTTCACTGAGCCAGTCGGCGCGACGGATCCCGCCTTTGTTCCCGAAATGAGTGGCTTACAAATAAGTGCCGAGTTGTACAAAGACAGTTTTTTCGAAATGCCAAGCATGTGCGGAAAATCCTCGCTGTTGACGCAAAATAGGGTGGGTCTGCAGGAAATAAGAGGGAATAAAAACTGCAACTTGAATTCCAAACCTGAAACTTCAGTCGGCGTGAATAAGATGAAACAAGATGTATTTAATGAAAAGAGAAATGTTGCTTCCGCTGAGAAAATAAAATCCACAAAGAACAGCTGTGAGAGTAGGCAAAGAAGTTTATCGTTTGGAAGCACGTCTGACCCAGATTTTGAGACTTTTTGTGAACCCAAAGAAGAGCATCTTGAGGAAAACAAACCGGTGGCTTTGCCGTATAAAAACATCAGCCCTCAGTCTGAAGACTCTAATAGTTACTCTGAAGACGGGCAGGCGGTGTGTTTCTCTCAAGCACTTGTGGACTACACCAAACACGCTGAAATGCTGAGCGACTTGGAGACGAACTCTGCCCTCACTCCAAATATGGAGGCCTTACCTACCATCGTCACGTTTGACGTCGTAGATCTGCATAACGAGGGGGAATACGACGAGCAGATCCACATGAATCTGGAAGAGGACACGTCGCTGCCCTTTCAGGAGTTTGGAGAAAGCTACCTACAAAAAGATGCGTTTGCTGAGTGCGATTATCAGATGTTGGAATTGTACGACCAGAGCCTGATCAGCAACACATGGGCTGTTGCCAGTCTCCCACGGCACTTAGGCCTTACGAGAGTTAGCCAGTCCACTCTGAGCCCGCTGTCCTCGGACAGAAGTAGGTCTTTAGACACAGAAAGCCTTGACACCTACGGAGAAAACAGAGCTGCTGTAGTTTCTTGTCCTCAAGCTGAAGAGGACTTTGAGAGAGACTGTTCACTGTATTATACGAATAATGTATCTGCATCAGAGGTCAGGGACGCTAACAGCACCTCAGCCTTAGCGTGGCAGACAATGTCAGAGGTGGCTTTGAGCCTTCCTTTGACAACTGGAGAAATCACAGAAAAGGTCCAGAGTCTTGGCCAACCCCAAGCAGAACACAAGCTGTTCCCCTGCTCCTCGAACCATAATTTTCTAAAGTCTACATCACAGCATCAAGACTCTAACCCTTCGGACAACGTGAGCGATTTGGTTTCGCAGAGTGCAGAACTTTACGGTAGACAGCGTCACCTTCCTTTGCCGTCTGATTCTCGTTTACCGCAAAGCTCCTTGGTTTACTCGGGGCTCATGGAGGTAGACTCGGATATCAGTGATGATGTTTTTTACAAGGCTTCTGCTGGTTTGCAGTCCTGTAACCAGAGCAGACCCTCGGCTGGTAGGGACGGTCTGTCGTACGGTAGGAGTCCACTGAATGCAGCTGTGTTTACGGATGAAACATAAATGGATGTGATGATCCCTGTGGCCTGCAGTGAGCACCCTGAAGCTACGAGCAATGAGAGGCGCTTTATCACATCAATATGAGTTAGTGGTTTTCATCTAAAGTTTTTTTCTCTTGCACAGTCATGATTTTTAATTTTCTGTGATGGAAATTGATATTGAATTTAGAAACAACCTTAAATGTAGAGTTTAAATCTCACTTCCATCAAGGCCTAGACAACTTTTTTTTTTCTTTCTGTTTTTTCATATCTGTTACTTCGCACACGTTACACAGATCTTGGTTAAAGGTATTTATAGAAACAAATGTTTAATTTGCTGTATAACTGCCCACGGTGTATAATGACATTAATTTTTACTAGAATGTTAGTCCCACGTGTAGCCTCAGTGTGCAGGTCTCAGCTGTAACGCTTCACTTTGCTTCAAGGGTTTTGATCATTTGTTCATTTGTTGCCTTTGAACACATGAGTGCTTAATGTTTTTAAATGTTTACAACTTCTCGCTGCTGTATTCATGTCCATTTTTACTGGTTTTACTGAATTTCTGACATGTTTTGCGTTTTGAAAGCAACAGATAAATATCTCAGTCCTTGATCACAGAAGCTCCAACACCTTCAGTCTCAGATTTCTGTAACTTGTTGCTATTTTGGGTTTGGTCTTGTCATGTCAGCTGGTTTGACTTCTTAACCCAACACAAGATAAGCCGATATAGGAAATGCACTGATAGTGATAGTATATGATCATGATAGGATTTTAACGACAGCCGTCATTTCATTTACATACAGTAGACAGCTTTGCAAGGCAAAACTCCCAACATTTGTGTAGCTCATTTCACATGCAAATAAAAAAGATGGAGCAGATTCACATAAAGCACCAAGGAACCTGTGCTGGAGCACGTTAAGGAAAAGTTAAATTGGAGAAGTAACTAATTTGGAGAGGGAAAAGTACAGAATAAGTTCATGTTTGCTTTTAGCCCGACAAAACAGCCTGACTTCCTTTTTTTTTTATTTAATTTTTTTAATATTTTTTTTTTTTGTGGTAATTTTTAGCAGCTTGACAAAGTGCAAAATTCTTACTGCAATTATGCACTCTGTCTTTTACTATTGGAAGTGTCTGGATGGAAGTTACATGTTTAGGTAAACATCTTGTGAAACCATTTTATAGCATAATATTAAATATCAATGAATTTGTATTTATATTTTCAGCTGTTTTTAGACTGTTGTGTACAGAATGGTTGTTACAAATTGTCTAAATGTTTTTTTCCCCCCTCTGAAAACCTGTTTTTGTTATGTCTAAATAGAACATTGCCTTACACAAAAATAAACCTGACGAATACAATTTATTTTGTCTTATCTTGTTCTTGTTACTGTCATTGTGGATCTGAGGTACTATATGTTCCCATCCAGCAGTCTGTCTGACAAGGTGGTTAGAAGAGAAGGGATGCCCTGGCACAAAAAGGCCATTATGCAAGTTTACATTAACCAACACCTAAAGTGAAATTGTCACACACAAAATAAACCCCATCATTTAAATGCTGGGCTGCTTTAATGGAGGTCAACACTAATGCTGAACTTCCCCTGATCAGTATGTGGTTGGAAATCAGAGACTTGTGTATGCATGCAAATTTAAATAACCTGTTATCCTACAGGAGTGCCTTTACGGTTGTCTGATCAGACTTGGTGTAAAAATTAACAAATTGGCTTGATGGGATTCAAAACCCAATAAAGTCTAAAACGTTTTTTCGGTTTGTAGCACTTGGCCTATGCTAAATGTATTTAGTTGTTTTCCAAAAGTAGTGTTTGCACATGTGTGGAATAGTGGCATTTATCAAATCACAGATTAGATCAAATAAAATTGGTTCGTGAAGGTTTTTTTGCCCATGTGTCACATTTACTCGTTTCCCTCGCCTTATCTGGCAACCCTGAGCAAACTGCGACAGCGCCAATGGCAGCAAAACAGAACTGTTCCAGGCGAGGAGGATGACAGCAACAAGGTGAGAGGAGATGAGCGCCGTTTGAAGAAGTCACCCGTGCCACTGATGTGCGTGCACAGTAGGTAAGAGAGTCGTGATGCGTTGCCGTCATTTCAGCATCGTCTGAAATATTACATGACCCGTCAACTTTATCTCTAGTTACGGTAATATTTTGGCTAAATTGTTAGCAGATGCTCAGCAGCTGAGGCTAACGTTAGCAGCTAGGCGTTTTAAGTTGACCGTTAACTAGTGGTGTTGTGTCGTGCTACGTTCCCACGGTCGAATGTGTTCCCCCACCAGGCTCCGCCCAGCCCAGCCATCGAAAAAGGCGCGTATTTGCTGAAAAGTTGACGTCGCCGTTTGGACGGGGCGGAGCTGTCGGAGAAGCATCTTGACGGGACGAACGCAATTCGACAGAACACCAACTTGCCTGACAAGCTATACTAGGTTAGCGATAGCTTGAAATAAACTTGAAATAAACGTTATATTATCAATTTCTTCACATTTGACCAGCTAGTTACCTCGAATTAGTCAGAAATGATTCATCCGAGACGTTGACACCGTATTGTTCAGTTAGCTAAGCCATGTTAAAATAGCTTCCTAGCGTATGCTAACAGCATCTCGGGCCTGAAGGTGCCAAAGCAGTTATTTTCTGATAAATGGTGTCTCAAAGATGGTGTTTTGTGCAACACTTGTGACATTTGTTTTAAAAAAAGTTTCATTAATTGAACTTGTCACGTGCTGTCACACTGTACATCAGTGGCATCCTGAAGTCAAGACGCTGTTAAGGAGCTGCTAAACATCAGTTTGGGATTGACGTGTCAACTTGTTGGATATTTCTGAACAAGAACTTAAAAAACGAAACATATATTTGCTTTAAATGTCTGCTTTCATTAGCGTTCTCCTAATGGGGTTATGTATTTGGCTATAATTTAAGTAATACTGTATTTTTAATCTCAGTGTTTTATCACGTTCAAAAGAGCTAAAATAATTTCGTTAAAGTTCACAGATTTCAGCGGAAATCAGAATTAGCGGAGACAAGTTGTTTCAGGGGTGATATTATGGACATGATATACTGCATAAAGTTTGATAAAAGTTCAGTTTATTCGTGCTTTTTTTTTATCCAAACAGGTGCAGCTTTAACATGTGATTAACACAAATGTGACAGAAAATTTCCCCAGCAAGTGATTGTCTGCTGAAATATTATAAAGCTTCATCATAAGTTAATGATTTGGACATAATGTACACTTGAGGTGCCTGCATGATTAAAAAAAGCATGTTTTTCTCAGTGGCAACAGTTTTTCCTTTACTTGGAAGGGCTACTTTGATTCACTTGACAAATGGGGAAATTCTTTGTTTTGTTTGTGCACAAGAGATGGCCTGTAAACAAATCCCGTCATCAGTTTAGTGGAATGAATCCAAGCCAACATTCAGCCTCTAGATGCAGCAGCACAAATGTCACTGGTCTAATGAGTCAGATGATGGGAGCATAGTGCCATCATCTGATCAAAGCCAAAAAGGTAATAAGATCACAACGTTTTGCTTGGCTCTGAGCCCTGGATGACAGTTTTTCTGTAACTTTTCTTTGTTTTTGTTTGTTTTATTGAAACCTATCAAAAATCAAAATGCATACCTCTAATTGAAAAATACGTTAGCAGTGGTCTTCATGCTTGTAGGAGTAGCAGATTAACAACAACAAAGCGGTTTCATTGGAACGCGTTGATTATTTGCTGCTGGAGTCTCGGTTCAATAACGTTTATGTTGTGTAGTTTGGAACTGGTTTAGTTATTTCACATGCTGGAAAATGCATAATGTTGGCATCAACATCATGAAAAGTAGTCGTCCTCTTCTGTATGTATTTTTTATATATATATATATATATATATATATATGTATTATATATATATATATATATATATGTATTATATATATATATATATATATAACTTTTTTATTTAGATTGAAAAACAGTAAAATTAGGAGGTTGTCTAACCCTGTAATGAGTTTTGCAAGGTGAAAATGACAACTCTTTCTCACTTCTTTGTGCACCTTCCCTTTAATTCTGCCAAAATTGTATTATAACAGTTTCTTTCCTCATCTCAAAGCATTTGCGTTTCTCTGTAAATCCCTGCAAAGTACTGAAACTGAAACTGATCTGAATCGATGGAAACGCCACAATACTGATTCCTTGTAATGCTGCAAAGCTACCTGTTAGCTTTATCTCAAACTAAAAAGTATACCAAATTGTTAAATGGACCAATAACAGCCTTCAGTGTAGTTCATCATGCCGTTACTTTATTCTGTGTCGGGTCAGCAGTGTAAAAAGACATCTTACTTCACTTGTTGCTATGCAGGAGATGGTGAGTGTGCAGAGATGGTCCAGAGGCCTTGCTGAGAGTAAAGCTTGTGAATCTGGAGGTGGACTGGAAAGGACTGAAAGAGCTCTGCCACGTTGAGCATGTATTGATATGCTCATAAAATGACTCAAATGGCAGTAGGCAGTGTGAGCTGTTCCATGGGATCTGTCACTAATTCTCAAGGCGTCACAACAGTCCTGTTTAGCTTTTTTACTTTAGATATTCAAGCTAAAACTTGTTCCTCATACAAATTTTAATCAGTGCGAACCCATAAAGGTATATTTATTTAGCTGTTGGCTGGCTATAAAAAATATTTGTCCACCTTTTGTAGCATTAGTGTCTGCCTTTGGGATTGTTGTTAGTGACGTACTGAAACAGGATCCCAGTCACTGCAGTGGAGGTGGACTTGTCTTGTTTTTTTTTTAGTGGTCAGGACTGAAAATAAAGAGACCATGTAAAATATTATTGTCACGTTTTGCTTCAGAATTCACTTTCTCAAGATTTTCGGAGTGGACTTTGAGCGCAGCTGAAAGTGTTCTGCATTTACTGGCTGCATGAACAGAGATGATGAGCCGTGTTTGTGTTAGTCGTGACTGGTAAAAGGAGTTAGCTGATGACAAGGCTGTGTTGCTAAGCAACCCACATCATGGGCTGTGCCTCTTGAAGCTTGAAGCTCGCCGTACTCCACTTTATGCAAGACGAGAGGAGAGTGAATCCTAACGTGTCTTCCAAATCTTTGGAATAGTTTTGATTATCAGTATTTGTGTGTGTGTGTGTGTGGGGGGGGGGGGGGGGGAGATAAGCGGTGTTGCCTCCTGCAGGCTCCTCTGCAGTCCCCGTGCTGCTTTATCACACAACAGTCGTGCTCCCGGTGGAGTTCTGTTCAGTTCTGATTATCTGTCAGAGGGCTGGAGGCGCAGGGATACACTGCTCAGCCCACACTATCTCAGGTTTTGCTAACTCGTGCGCTCACTCCATGTGTGAATGGGCTCAAACGTTGCTTGTGTGAGACCTGTAAGTTGGTTTTTTTGCGCACGCAGAAAGAGCAGCAGCATTGTTCTGTGGTTGCATTAGCACATTTTGTACCAGACTGTGATTTTGATTTTAAAGTCAGTCAGCTGAAGAGACAGCCAAACTGTTATTTGGTAATGTCTGTGCTTTTCCACAAGGTCCAAACGTGGTGCTGGAGAAATTCAGTGATTTGATTAGTGATTTAATATCTAACCTTTGCACACATGCAGTATTACTGCTGCTGTTCTGGTGTTGAAGCTTTACTGTAGTTTTCACAAGTTTAGCCTTTATAATCCACATAGACTGTACAATTTTACCTTTTCATTACATACTTTAAATGCACCAAAGAATCAAAGTAATTTCTTTCAGAATAGTTCTGAAGTTTAGGTTTAGCAGCATATCACCTGTACTGACCTTTGTGTTTTTGCTCTTTTACAGGATTATGTAGTTCCACTTTCCCTCCTCGAGTAGGAGAAACCACATTACTTTGGCCCTATATAAAGAATTTGAAGTGTTAAGGTCCAACAGTGAGGATGATTCCCTGGCTGCGTCGGAGGTGAGGAAGCATGGAGCGGAAAGCTGAGGTGTCGAGACTAACGTGATGGCAACATGGTCCGTGGTGGAGAAGCTCAAAATGGAGAAACGCCCATGCAGGGAGGAGAACACTGACTCAAGAGAGGCCCGGCATGCCGCCGACGAGTCTGAGAATGGAAGCAGCTCGGAGAGCGAGTCGGAGGAGCAGCAGCACCGGAGGGTTCCGGTGAGCACCAGCGGCTGCAAGAGGAGAGAGCCCTTGGCTATCACCAAACCCCACCGTCAGCTCTGCCGCTCGCCGTGCCTCGACCGGCCCAGTTTTTCCCAGAGCAGCACCGTGCAGGATTTTCGCGACGATGACACCAGCGCAGCACCGGGGATCAAACTTGCCAGTGGAAGAGAGTACCAGTCAAAGATGGAGTTTGCTCTGAAGTTAGGCTATTCGGGAGAGCAGGTGGAGGTGGTGCTCAACAAGCTGGGAGCCACGGCGCTGATCAACGACGTTCTTGCCGAGTTGGTTCGACTCGGAAACAAAGTGGAGCCTGAACTTCAACCTTGCAGCAGCACGTTCACATCAATATCACGGTCCCCTTGTGTTAAAGAAGCTGTTAGTCCTGAAGTTTCAGTGGAAGAGGATCCTGTGGAAGTGTATGATAACCTCAGACCTATTGTCATTGATGGTTCAAATGTGGCGATGAGGTAAGACACTCCTAAAGACGATCATACACACATATTTAAGGTTGTTTTAGTTGGATGTCTGTTCCTTTAGTCATTGGGAAGCCTTGCGCTATCGTGTGTTTTCTAGCCATGGGAACAAAGAGGTATTCTCTTGCCGTGGTATCCAGCTTGCTGTTGAGTGGTTTTTGGAGAAAGGGCATAAAGACATCACTGTGTTTGTCCCAGCCTGGAGAAAGGAGCAATCAAGACCTGACGCCCTCATCACAGGTACTACAAGTGTTTATACAGCTGCTGACCATTCACAGGACATAAAATATTACATTGATGTTACCTGAATAAAAAGTTGAAACGAATATGTGGCTGTTTTATATAAAAGTATCCAGGTATTAAATCACTTCCTCTTACAGATCAGGAAATCCTGCGCAAGCTAGAGAAAGAGAAAATCCTGGTTTTCACCCCGTCTCGAAGAGTTCAGGGCAGAAGAGTGGTGTGCTATGATGATCGCTTCATAGTGAAGCTGGCTTATGATTCTGATGGAATTATTGTGTCAAACGACAACTACAGGGACTTGCAGAACGAGAAGCCAGAGTGGAAGAAGTTTATAGAAGAGCGCCTCCTGATGTATTCATTTGTTAATGACAAGTGAGAAAACCTGATTGTATTTTTTTATTATTACTAATTATGTAAAATACTTATACTGATTTAGCCAGTGGCCATAACAATACATTTTAGCTGAGATACTCTTTGTTAGAAATGTCACATTTGTTTTAAAGCAAAGTATTTTATGTACTTGGGTTTTTTTTTAAGCAGTTTAAGATTATCTGCCTATGGCATACGCCGACTGGGTTAGTGTGTCATGATTTTTTTTTTTTTAGGAAATTGGGAGTGACAGTTTTTTCTATTTTTTGGTAAAAACACTTTGTGCTGGCTGTAATTCTGTTGCTTTTGGTTGGCTGTTTTTAATAGGTTCATGCCACCTGATGATCCATTGGGAAGACATGGGCCAAGCTTAGAAAATTTTCTTCGCAAGAGACCTGTTGTTCCAGAGCACAAAAAACAGCCTTGCCCCTATGGTAAGTTTCTGTTGTTAAGCAGTTTCTAATTTCTAAACAGATCATGTTCAACCCTTGGGTTGTTCTTTCTTTTAAACCAGGAAAAAAGTGCACATATGGACATAAGTGCAAATACTACCATCCCGAGCGTGTCAACCAACCGCTGCGCTCTGTGGCTGATGAGCTGCGAGCCTTTGCCAAATTGTCTGCAGTAAAAACAATGAGTGAGGGGGCTTTAGCTAAATGTGGCACTGGCCCAGCAGCTGTAAAGGGCGACAGCAGTTCTGAAGCCAAACGCGTGGCACCCAAACGTCAGTCCGATCCCAGCATTCGCTCAGTGGCCTGTGAACCTCCAGAGGCGCTCTCTGTTGTTCGGAAGTCTGAGACAAATTCAGTGCCTTCCCTCGTGTCTGCTCTCAGTGTGCCCACCATGCAGCCTGCCAAGAGCCACGCAGCTGGAGCCTTGAACACACGATCTGCCAGCAGCCCGGTTCCAGGTTCTCTGCAGTTTGCTCACAATTCCCTGGAGCACATGTCCAGTGTACAATACCCTCCTATTTTAGTCACTAACAGTCACGGCGCCTCTGTAACGTACGGTGAACAGTTCCCCAAGTATGACTCAGTTAGCGACCACGGATACTATTCACTCCACAGTGATTTTTCAAACATGAGCATGAGCAGCATGCAAAACGTTGACAGTTTCTGTAGCATGGAGCACGAGCATGTGTATCAGAGAAATCCTAGCCACTGCCCTGAATCCTGCCTCAGCCACTCCAACAGTGACTCGTTCTCCTCGTACGGTGACATGTACCCAAGCTCTGTTGACAGCAGCCTGGAGGAGAGCATCAAAGGGCAGCAGCAAGCTCCTGCCCAAAATAGGATGCAGGCCTTCTCCCGTGGGTTTCGTCATGAAGCGCTGTCGAGAGTACAGAGTTATGGACCAGAGGAGCCGAAACAGGGTTCCCGCAAACAGTCCGAAGCTCACCTGGCACCACATATCCAGCATGCTGCAGTGGGAGCTCGATCTAGCTGTCCCGGAGACTACCCACTCACTCAGAATGTCCTCCCGCCTTTATCCTCGCAGCCAACCAGGTCTCTAGGTATGACTCGAATGGACAGCATATCGGACTCGAGGCTGTATGACAGCAACCCAATGAGACAGAGGCGACCGCCGCTGTGCCGCGAGCAGCACGCAAGCTGGGACCCTCTGCCTTGTGGGAACGAGTCCTTTGGATATCATTCATATCCACTCAGTAACAGCTTGATGCCATGTTGCGAACGGGTGATGGTCCGCAGCATGCCAGACAAAATGGAACAAATCTGGAACTCGCCGTGGGAGACCCCATCTGCAGTCGAACACCAAGAGCGTTACGTTATTCCAGATCACCAGTATCAGACGTACAGGAACCTTTGTAATATCTTTCCTGCTTACATAGTCCACTCAGTCATGGAGAAGAACCCTCATTTGACAGATCCACAACAGCTGGCTGCTGTCATTGTTACAAAACTGAGGTCGGGACACTGAGCAGCTATAAAAGATAAGGTAATGAGTAATTTGATTACCAATTAGGCATTTGTTAAATGTTGCTACAAAGTGCAACATCTGCCCTCAGGAGCTACTAATTTTGTTTTGGTTCTCTGGTGAGAACCGTAGCGATCAGAGTAAATATTGCTAAGATGGCACTAATCAAAATGTTTTACATGAAGTGTGGTGTAACCTACATGATGCAAAGGCACACCTTTTATTAATGACACATTCATACTACTTGACCAGGAGCAGCTTAGTTGCATTTGTTTGACAGTTCATTTAAAAATTGACTAAAGTACATTTTATAACAAATAGCAGGAATGCAAAATTCTGCGAAAAGTGTCACTGAAATAAAAGCTCTTAAAACAACTGACATTGAGTTGTGTCAAAAGCAATATGTCCATTTTAAAAATCAATCCAGTAATGAGACAGGTGTTCTGTAAATTAAATGGAAAAAAGGAAATACATTTTATTAATGAAATTCAAAACATTTTATATTACTTCATATACTGATCGTTTCTACATTATGAAGTTATTCAGATGTATTTTATGCATTGTATTTCCTCAGTACATATTTCATATTATATCCAATTTATGATGATCAGCAGAATACATCCCAGCCTTGTATTTCTAAATAATATATATTTCTCATGAAAGGCCCCCTTCACTCGGTACGATGACCTCACTCATTTCCACAACTTACAGAAACTATTAGAACTAGAGGTCGACTGAGACGAGTTTTTCTATGGCAGAGACCGATCTTTAGAAACCAGGGCAGCAGAGAGCCAATTTTCAACAATTTTTTAAACTATTATTATTATTATTATTATTATAACATGTTTCAAGTAACAAAACAACAATATGCACATATGCATATTTTAAATAAATGTCTATTTCACAACCATTCGAAGAACTTGTACAGTTAATATAAAAGCCTTTTCGCTTAAAAAACTAATTTGGGTTACAGGAAGCTGGTAATTTCTCTACACATGGTCCAATGAATTCAGTTCAATTCAGTTTATTTATATAGCGCCAAATCACAACAAAGTTGTTTCAGGGCACTTTACAGAAACATTCACACATAGAAAAGCCAATTAGTAAAGTTCTCTATCTAAGGAAGCCAGAATTCAGTCAGCCAATTACAGTAGTCCCTCGCTACTTCACTTAACTCGCTCTTTCATGGTTTTTCAAAGTAAGATTGGACATGACACACAACTGGCTGATTGATGGATGAGACACACGATCAGAATGTATTTTTTACTTTAAATAAATTTAAAATTATTTAGCACCTGCCGCATCTGTGTGCAGCCCACATGTGCAGGGAGAAGCTCCCTGCAGCCTGTCATGACCTCCGCATCAGAGAAGTGGGCGTGGCCAAGAGCGCTGGCAGGTGGCAAAGAGCAGCCGGAGGCAGAGAGCAGAGATCATGACATGCTGTGACCTTTTAGAGCGTTTTTAGAGTTTAGAAACCTTGTTTAGAATATCGCAAGAGTGTGGGAAGGGTTTTTCACTTATCGCGGGGGTGCTGAGAACAGAACACCCTGCGATAAACGAGGGACTACTATAATCCATCTATCAAATTAAAATGTTGCTGGATTGATTCAGATTTGGAAAACCTCCAACAATCTTGACGTTACTATGCTCACTAAATAGGTTTTTTAATTCTAGTAGTAATAGTAGTAGGACTTACTCTTTCATGGATTTTCAACGTAATATTGTTTATATTGTTTTCCCGGTGGCCTGGCCTGCTCAGTGATCGCCGAGTGGCCCCCTCCTTTCTCTTCACAACAGGTGGGCGCACAACCTGTTTGTGTGGCTCTGCTCTGCTGTGACTGCCTCAGAAAGAGAAAGGCAGGGGGTGGGGTCTGTCTTTCCCCATGCTGCTGTGGGAGCTTCAGTGAGGCGGACACCAGAATGAGCAGCATGGGTTGTTCATTTAAAATAATCAAGCGCGACCCGAACGGAGCCTTAACCCAAACCGACCCGAATGGAGCCGGGACATTTCCGGTTCTGGAAATGTCCCTGTGCTCACGATGGCCAGTCTGCCCCCAAGCGCTGATTGGCTCAGTAACCATAGCATCAGTCTGTCTGTTCTCTCTCGCTGTGCTCTTTTAGAGCATTAGAGAGTTTAGAACATTGTTAAGAACATTGCAAGAACATGGGAAGGGTTTATAAAACCTTAAAATATATATAAATACTAAGATAAATATAACATCCCTACTTCGTGGATTTTCACCTATCATGGGGCTGTCTGGAACGTAACCCCTGTGATAAGTGAGGGACTACTGTATTCTTTTGCTTTTCAGTTGATCTACTATCCTCTGAAAAGCTCTCCTCTACCTCATCATGCTATGTATATGCCGGCCCTAGCATAACTTTCTCAGACGTGCCAAGAAGCAAATATGCAGTAGAGGAACACGCTACATTAGCACAATACCATGGGTATCACATCAGAGCCACGTAGTTTCCTTGACCGTGTTACAATCATGAGCAGAGCTCAAGTATAAGACTAGCATGGTTGGTCCTGCTTCAAGGTCTCATTGACAAATTCACACCGATGTTCATGGTCCACAGATCATGGCTCCAACCAAGACCTCAGTACACTACCACGATGATAAAACACCACAACCTTTGTGAACCTATCAGATTCTGTTATGTGTAAGAGGAATCTAACTGGCTTTTTAATTTTTTTAAATTTTATATCATAGTGAGGTCATCATAGTGAGGTCATCATCCAGTGAGAAGGGGGCCTACAACTGAGCTCGTTGGTTAATGCCAGCCAAGAGATCATCAACAAAAAACCTGCATAGCAACAGAGTCAAATTAACAAGCAACATCTCCAACATTTATTTTTTCCAAGTGACACGTGTCAATATTTTATATCGCAGCTTTTCTGAAGCTCCTGATCAGGTCTTGTGAATGTGTTCTGAAAGGCATCTAAAGTGTTCGTAGTACAGTTGAAGTATAAATAACTTTGCTTTAGATCTGCCTCCGCTGTAGATATTTGTTGCAATATACATATAAATATATATATTTTTTTCTTTTTTGTGCATTTATTTTAAAAGTTAAGAGGGAGGTAGATGAATACCTCACAGCATGAACTATGACATAATGGCCTTATATCTGAATGACCTCATGCTTTAGTCATCGTCTGATTGGTTCCAGTGGATGTTTGTGTCATCAAAGCCTCCTAGTTTTAAATGTTAAGCACTATCACAATATCTAAAAAAAGATATATTTTCTCAGCGTCACTTAAGAAAGCTACTATTTTGGTAGAATTTGACTGTGCACTAAGCAAGCCAAAAGAAGGTTTGACTTGTACACATGTGCACAGATTTATGTACATAATATGTCACAAAAGCCATTATTTTAAAGTTATTTATAAGCTGCTAAATAATGCCAAAAAAATAATTTTATTAGTGTTACTAGTAATATAAATATTTACTTAGTATTTTGTTTGTTTTATTTAGATTAATTGGATTATAGTTTAAAGTAACATCAGCATTTGGAAAATTTTCTCGTATATGTATATATAGTTTACTGATCTTAAATGCTGCGTCCAAGATTTTGCTTATTTATCTACTTGTCAAATCTGCTGTGCTGACTGTTTTCAGTGTAGAAATAATCCTAGTATCTTTGTTTAGACCAGTAGTTCTGCAGGACCAGAAGTTGTAAGAGCAGGTTTAATTGAGTTTTACATATGAAAAGAAATGGATGCTCTGATTTCTTTTAAAAACCCAATTGCTGATGACACGTTAATTTATCCAACAGCACTGCTGGAAGGTAGTGTTGCTACATTCAAAGTCAAGACCTAAACTGTTTTCACACAAAACCTCCAGAGAATTTCAGATTTCTCTTTTACGAGCAGTTCATTTAATTACGGTAACTTATTTATAATATGTCTCCAATTTATCTAGAATTCATTTGTTTAACCAGGAATACACAATAATTAATGTTCAACCAGTGCCGGAGTTACAGTTCTGTTAAAAACTATTTACTTTAGTAGGACCTAAATAACATAAAGTTGGTAATTTCATGCCTTAACCGAAGCTGGTTTCCTTATGTGCATGTAAATCTGGTCAAAAAATAACAAAAAAAGAATTCCCCAGGCTTCGGAGTAACTTCAGCAGGAACAGATTGATGAAACTTACCAGACTGAAACAGTATTTGTCATCCCAGTTAAATGTTTGCACAAGTTTCCATTTGTCAAATGTCAGAATCTGGCTGGATCAGTTGCACTTGGTGCATGCTAATATTGATATTCTGCGAAATAATAGCTTTCAAAACAAAACAAAAAAGTTTTTCATGCCCCAGAAAGCATATCAGAGTTAACTTTTCCTGTTGGGCTTTTGGGAGAGTTCAGACTGCCAAAATATACGTGTACAATAATACAATGCACACATACAGCGTGTAGAAGTACCATGGAAATGTTTGGCTATGGCTTGCTGCACATTGCTCTCAGGATGCTTTCAATTTTCTAATTTTGACTTTATTCATGCCAGGAACTCATCACTGGCTATAGTGCACTCTGATCTAGAAGTGATATACAGTATTTTGTGAAAATCCTACATGTAACATGTAGTACGTAAAGTTAGCTCTGTAAATTTGACACGTGGCGTCTGCACACTTTGTACTTCTTGTTTTTCCATTCTTTGCACCTTGAGATTTTTTAGCAGTGAGCTACGAAGGGGGAACTTGTATGTGGTTCAACTTCACTTTGACAAATTCTCTGCGGGGGGGTCCAAGTTTGGCGCTGCTGTTACCAAACCAGATTGGATCTTTAAACTTGCCCTATAAGGGCACATCGGTTTCATTAAGCACATTGATGTTCCAAGGAGGTCAAACGACTCTTAATTAACGAGCTGCCACCCTCAAGACATGAAACATGCATCTAAAACTAGAAGGTTGCACCCTGCAAGCAAACCCCTTATCACAGGTTTAGACTTGGAATGCTTTTAAAGGGAAATGCCACTTATTTCCACAAGTCAGAAATGTTAAAGTGCATGATTTGGTA